GCACTGCCCAGCCCGCCCGCCCCGGACACCAGTAGCAGCGGCAGCGGTGCCGCAGTGGCGGCCCCACCTGACCTCACTGCTTTGTGCCTTAGCCCGGGGTTGGGGTTGGGGGAAAACCCCGGGTCGGGGGTGGGATGGGGGAAGGGAGATTTATATTTTTGATATCAGCGTTGACCAAAGGAGACCCCCCCGGCCTCTTCCGCCTCTTCCTGTGGTTTGTTGGCCCCCTCCTCTCGGCTCCGTGCTGCTCGTTGGTGAGGAGGGGTGTCAATGTTGGGGCGCTCCCAGCCCTACCTCCGGCCCTTGCGACCACACCCATTCTCACTGTGAATCTCCCCGCTGGGGTCGGAGCGTCGGGCAGAGCTGGGGAGAGGGGAGGGGACTGAGCCTGCCGGAGGGCCCTTCCCGCCTCAGCTCCAGCCCGCCCCGGGACTGATAATGTGAAGTTCCTCATTTTGCACAAGTGGCACTAGCCCCAGGGCCAACCCTTCCCTCCCTCAGCACCGAGGCTGGGAGTTCTGGAGCCAGGGCACAGCCAGCCTTGGCCTACCTGGTCTCCCGCTCCTGCGGTGTCCCCTTCCCTTCCCTGGGGCCCCGGACCATATTTATTGCATGCGCCCCGGGTGGCCCCCCCATCCCAAGCCCAGTCTGGGCTGGGCTGGAGTTCAGTCTCCTTAGCTCCCTCCTCAAGTTTGTATATTTCCTACCTTGTACACAGGCTCTTCCAGAGCCGCTTCCATTTTCTATACTCGAACCAAACAGCAATAAAGCAGTAACCAAGGTCCCCAATCCTTGCCACTCTCTTCTGCCCCCACACGAGAGCCTTGCGGCGGTGGGTGGAGGCCCGAACAGACGCCCAGGTGCACAGGCTCAGCCTGACTGCCTCCCCTCACCCCGGAAACACATAGGCAGGAGGTCAGGTCGTTTCATAACTAAAATTTATTAAGGAAACACAACCAGTGCTGCAAATGGGACAGAGAAAAAGAGATGGGTCTCCCGCCCACCTAGTCACTGGCCTCAGCCAGGGAGGACAGTCAAAGGACAGCCAGGGCCCTGCACTCCAGAGCCTGGTCTTCTGAGTTTTGAGGCCCTGTGGGATTTACACCCCCAAGCCACTGGCCTTGGTGCTCCGGCACAGCTCCCCTCCTGCTGGCACAGTCTTGGGCCTCTGGGAGGGCACAGTATACTCCCATGCACTGGGCAGGCTGTACGGTCACACAGTAGGCTGGGGAGATTATCCTACCAGTCTCAGCAACAGTCTTCCTTCACCTAAGACCCCGCTTTCCCCTACCTCCTCATCTCTGGGCTGGAGGAGCTCATTCGTTGTAGAAAGCCTCCATGAGGTTGTGAACATGGCTACCAGCTAAAGAGGCAACAAAAAACTTCAAAGCTAAACGGGCTCTGTGGCAGTTCTGGGAAGTGGAGGGTAAAGCTGGAAACAAGGCAAATGCTTCAGGCTGTGTAATGCTCCTCCAGGCACTGACCATCCTACCCACAGGCTGGGCTGTAGCAGCCTGGAAACTTCCTGTAACGCAGGGGGCCTGGGGAGCAAGTGGGAACGCCTGATTAGTTTCCTGTGGCAGGTAGCTGAGAACCCCATGGCAAGGAACTGAGTGGAGGAAGTTAAGGGGCTTAGGGAGGGTAAAAGGGACCAAAAAGCAAGGGAAGGAGGATGAGGGGATGTTGTGGGTGGCCAATGGTGGCGGTGACAAGAAGAGTCAAGAAATTTCTGGAAGGGGGAACTACAGCAAAAGGAAGGTGGGGCCGGGGATTCAGTTCAGTGATGCAGCGCCTGTCTGGCAAGCATGAGGTCCTGAGTTTGATTCCCGGTACCCGCACCCCCCCAACAGAGGGAACAAGAGAAGGCCACCCAGGAAGCACGGGTCTGAGACCAGATGTCTCTTCCCTGTAGGCCCATGACTGTCTAAGGGAAAACAAGGGGCAAAGTGCAAGGGACCCAGACTGATGTGGACAGGAAGCAGAGCAGCAGGATGGGTGTGTGTCTGGGCGGGGGTAGAGGAGGTGGGGCCGGGGGCTGCTGCTAGGGACATGTTGTCCAGAACCCAACCTGGGTCCACAGGGGATCCAAGCCTCAGGGAGCTGGAGACACACCCTGGACACTCTCTTCATGATATAGCCAAAGCCTCTTGTACATATGTAGGACAGAGGTGCTACAGATGAAAGGGACCTGACTTCGCCTGCATCTGAAGGAAACACTAAAAATCCTGCCCCATCGCCATCGGAGACAGCAGGGCAGTCCCTGGGCGAGCAGGCCTTTCCCATCCCCGGAGTGAGACTGAAGGGAGAGAGGCTGAGGCACGGGCAGCCCGTCTGGCTTGCCCACTGCTGCTGCTGTAGCTAGCCACCTCCCCACTAAATCTTGGCAGCCCAGGCGGGTCCCAGCAGCTTCCACCAACCCTTGGGGGGCTCTGTGAGGAGCAGCTCCCCCACAGCATGGCCACGGCGTGGGTTGGAAGAGGATGGTTTATTGTCGGGGTGGATTGGTGGCTCAGGCACGTGGGCATCTTCCGTGCTACACCTGGCACCCGGTGGCCGGTCAGGAACGGTTCCAGTGGGGTGGGCCCCGGTGTGGTCCCCTCAGCCCACCTGGGCCCACGCGAGGAAGGCTGGGATGTCCCGTACAGGCACATTCCTCGTCAGCGCTTTCACACGCAGGTTCCGGTCGTCAGTCAGCAGCACCACCTCCCGCAGTAGACGGATTGGCTCCTCTGTCAGTACACAAAGAAGGGCTTAACTGAGGACAGGAGGCCGGGGACAGGCATTTCCCCGAAAGAGAATCTGGTCCTGGAAGGGGCAAGACGAGCTTTTTCTCTCCAGAATCTAGACTCTGAGCCCAGGTTAGAGGGGACCATGCATGGCTGCATGGCTGCACTTCTGCTCTGGACCCTGCCTCCTGCACAGGACTCTGTTCTGCCTTGTGTCTGAGAGGTGCCCAGGATCAGTTTCCTAGGACTCTGAACTGAGAGAGCAGGAGCCCTTTGCTGTTTACTTCTGACTGCGTGGCTGGCCCTGGATTCACAATAACGTCTCTTTTCTGCACATTTTCTCCTTCTAAGGCCAGGAGGTTGATCCTTTATGCATCTTGAGGTAGAAAACCAAAGATGAATAGAAAGCAGGTACAGGGCTTCCAGGTATGGGGAGAGGGGTTGGCTCAACAGGGCACTGAGGCAAGACCAGACACCAGACAGGGGGGTCCCTGACAGAACCATGCCAAGGGAGCCCTGCAGCTATAAGCAACTTATTTTTTCTTTACAAAAGTAATTTATGTACATCTAATAACACTGCAGAAGGATAAAAAGGAAAAGCAGAGTTGAGATTATATTCCTAGCTCTGTCTTCTATCCCAGGAGGGGTACCCTTCCAGATTTCTTTATGAACATTTACAAATACATATACTTGTGTATCTGTATCTTAGCTTTTTTGTTGTGTTTTGTTTTTTCTGAGCCAGGGATGTAGTTTAGACTGGCCTTGAACTCACTATGTAGCCCAGGCTGGCCTCAAACTCATGGTGATCCTCCCGCCTCAGCCTCCTGAGTGCTGGGATTACAGAAGTGCGCTACCATGCCTGGCTTAGCTTTTTTTCTTCCAACATCGAGATCATACTGGCCATATTTTATTCAAATTTTATATGCTTTAAAGGTCTTTCTATATCAACACAGGTAGCCTTCATTGTTTTTAGATGGCCTTTTTAGCACAATCTCTATTATCTCCCTTCCCTTCTCTAACCTTTGATGTACTGGAAAGGATTTAAAGTGGGCCTAGCATTCACACAGGTGACCCCACCTTGGCATGCCCACTCCTCAGTTCCAGGCTGGGCATTTTCTAGCAGAGGTCTGGCAGACAGCAAGGCACAGGAAATGTCCGGCTGTGCTCACTCACGGACTGCGTGGGCTGGTGGGGACAGGGGATTGCAAACATCCATGTCTGACCTGAGTGGTTTCAGCTTGCCAGCTCCAGGCAGGGAGGCTAAAAACTGGCTTTCAGCCTCGGGTGGAGCCTGGGGGATGTGGGAGGGAGAGGCTCATGGGGTTGATGGCGGTAAGAGAAGGGGACAGGAGGAAAACGGGTGTGCTAGAGGGAGAGGCTGTGGTGGGCAGAGGAAAAAAGTGGTGGCTAAGGGGGTGCTGAGACCCCTTCCACTGCCTGGGCCTGGCCCTGGCCCCTGTGGGAGTGTGAGTGTGGGGCGCTGGTGTGTGGTGCTAGGTGGGACTCCCGGCTAGCTGTCTGGGTCTGGCTGCAGCCCTATCACTCCTGCCCTGGGCCTCAGATCAGGAGAGTCCCAGGCCTTAGGTCAGCTAACCCAGGCCCAGTGTTGCTGGCAGGGGTCTGCAGGGGTTTCTGTGGATACTTTGAGACATTTTTAACAATAAACATCCTCTGTTTTGACACTGGTAACTTCACTTTGTTAGAAACCAGAAACTGTCATCTTGTCAGGCCCCATCCGCCATAATCCACATGATTTTAAAATTCAACATCGTTTACATATAAACATTTGGTGACGGTTTCTCTGTGAATCTGACAAGTTAATCTGCTAAGAATTCACACTGACAAATGAGGTTTGATTACACCAGCCGTTGCTGATGTAATTCTGATAGGGGCAGTCCCCAGGATGGCAACGGGTTCCTGTAGGCTGTTTGGGGTGAAGTGGTGGGTGGCAGAGGGACTAATAGGGCTAAAGCCAAAATTTGTCTGTCCTAAGAAACAGTTCTGAGGCTGAGCAGTACACTGAGCCGCCCTTCCCAACAAGGCCTTCTCCAACCCTCCTTACCCCTCCGTTAGGAGGCACCCTTCTAGGAAGCTGCCCTGGGGCAGCCAGAACTCCTTTTTATCACTTGAACATTCCAGAGCTGGCCCTAAGGGACAGTACATTCGAGCCATGTGGCATGATTCCTTTGAAGAACAGCAGTTCTGGGATCATGACTACATTCTGGTATAGGACTCAGACAGGAATGAGGGCTGCACTAACATGGGCAGCAGGAGAGGCAGGGGGAAGACAATCCCTAGAGCAGCACGAAAGCCAGGACTAGGAGCATGAACAGAGAAGATAGATGGATGACAGAGATGGGAGAAAAATGAGACTACATAAATGTAGACAGAAACCAAATGGTGAGAATTACCAGCTCTGCAGATGACAATGAGCTAGGAGGTGCTAGGAATTCCTTCCAAAAAAGAAATGTCGAAACCCTGGGAGTCAGGAGCAGAAAACCCCTGAGTGTCACTGACCTGCGGAGCTGTGCAGGAAGGAAACTCAGGGTTGAGGGTGAGGTGGTCAGGCACTTGGAAGAGAGCCCTAGCGTGGGCCTCCAGTCCAAAGATGAAACTCACCAAAAGAATTCTTGAAAACTGGGGTACACGCTCAGCAGTGAACTCTTACTTAGCTCCCAACTCCAGTCAGCCTGCAAAATGCTACAGCTCATGGTCACAGAGACCAGGCAGAAAGGTCAATCCTTGCCGGGGAAGTACTCTGGCCCCAGCCCAGATACAGGGTAAACATTCTAAGACGAGCATGGCCACAAAAACCGAGTGTGCCCTCAGAGCGGCAGAGGGAGGGGCTATGGTGACCATGGCCAGGGCTACACTGAACCATAATGGCATTCTTGCTGTCAGAGGGAACTCAAGAGGACTCAAGAACAAAAAGTGGCTGCCAATCAAGTAGGAAAGCTCACTGCTTAGAGATGCGCTTCCTGGGTAAGGCTCATCCTAGCTGGCCCAGGGTCCACCTGACATTCCCTGGGCGTGAGGGAGCTGTGATGGGAGGTCTAACTGCTGGGAGGGCAGGAAATGGGCTGGCTTAGGCTTGCACGGTATTCCCAGGTCGGAGTCAGCAGAGGGACCCTTCTCAGGGGCTGGGGATGGGTACGATAATGGGCAAGGAGGATGCGTGACCTGAGGCAGAAGCCAAGCTGTACCTTTGCTGGTGGGCATGAAGTCCTTAGCTTTGTCTTTGCAGTAGTGGAGGCAGCAGGAGAGGATCAGGTCATCATTGTTACCCTGGAGGAAGACAGTGTGAGAAGCGCACTGGGCAGGAGGGGGCGCCATGAGGAGGAGGCAAAAGTATATACTTTCAGGGCCGCATCCCAGAGTCCCTCCCATGCACACCCTGCTCTGCTTGGCCAGGTCTAACTGCTGTGTGGTCTAGGGGACAAGGACCTCCCTGCCCCGACCTTAATGGTGGCTGCCCTCTCAGCAGCCCAGACCGGCAGGCTTCCCTTTAGATTCTCTTTTCTGGAGAGTGCATTCTGACAGTGGGCTGTGGTTTTCTCTTCCTGCTGGGGTCTCACCAGCTGGCCAGTGATGTCCTCACTGCGGAAGGCGATGGATTCAAGTTCATTGCCCCGGCTGGTGAGGGCCCGTAGGCAAGAGTCCCGACTCTCGAAGCGCCGCTCCAGGAACTCGATGGACGTCCGGGCCTTCTCTTGTACCACACGGGCATAGCCCCCAGCCCGGCGGTCGGTCTCCTGCCCCTTGGCCAGGCCGTCCAGCTCGTTGATCACTGATGAGACAGAGGCACGCAGCGTTAGTCTCCGCAATCAGCAACTGTTTCTGCCTCCCCTTAGGCCTCTGTTTACTGATCACCCTAGCAAGCCCCTTCAGACTGCAGAGCACACCTTCCCCACAGGAGTCATCCAGTGAAACCCAGGTAGAAGGGGAGCTTGAAAGGGAAAGAATGGTTCTAGACTTCCTTTTTCTCCTTTTCTTTGGAGGTGGGGATAGGTGGTACTAGAGACTAAACCCAGGGTCTCTGTACTGATGCTAGATCTCCAACCTTTTACTACTTTGAGCATCTCAATAAGTGACTAAGTTGCCCATGCTAGGCTCAAATTTGATCTTCCTGCCTCAGCCTCCCTGAGTGCTGGGATTACAGCTGCCTGGCTAGAAAGAGTCCCAGAGTTTCACACTGTCCTACCCCTTTCTGCCTCTTCCTTTGGGGCCTGCCCTGCTGCCGGGAGGAACATACAGGACTTTCTGGAGCAGCTGTACTCAGAATACACCTGGCCCCTACATTTTTAGTTACAGGATCAGAGTAAAAGGGTTCCTCAGGAGAAGCAAGAATATGTAGCAGCCAAAGGAAAAGTAAGGCACTTTCCCTCAGCTACTTGGGCCTCAACCAAGTAGAGGCAAAGTCCTACAGCCAGCACCTCTGGCAGAGTGCAGGGAAGTCACCACAGAGGGAAGGGCAGTCATAGCTTTACTTACAAGGGCCCTGGTATTCCTCAAAAACATATCCTTGGCACACTACCTCCTTGATACTACACGTGTGTGTATGTGTGTGTGTGTGCCTGTCTGCCTCCCTATGTGTCTGGGACACGGCTTCATTTTCTGGTGAAGATTCTTTCCAAAATTCCAGCCAAAAGCCTGAGGTCAAGTGGGAAATATGCACTCCTTGGGGGCTCCGGGAGAGTTTGGGGTCTGAGGCCTCTCCTTAGTACAGTGATTCATGGCTTGGGGAAGCGACATGAGCATGCTGTTCCATGGTGAGCCTGGCACTCATTGTCTGGGTATTCAGAGACATTTTCTGGAAAGGGCCATGTGAGAGTACACATATGATGTCCATGCTTTTAGTAACCTGAGGCTGCCATGTCCACATGATACATGACTGAGGCCAGGGAATCGTGGTGGGGGGGTGTATGGCATAGCAAACAGAACATCAAACAGGAAAAGCTGGTATTCTATCCCAAAATCTGCTTTCCTGCTTCCAAACTAAACAGGCTTCAAAGGGGAAGCTTGTTTGTGCTTCTGCACCAGGCGGGACTTCTCAATGCTGGGGTCAGGCCTAAGGAGCACAGAGCAGGTTAAAGAGCACAAGAAACAAGCAGGGAAAGCTGTCAGCTTAACCCTTTGCTGCTCTGGGAATAAGGCAGAGACTACCAAGGAACACATGTGTGAACAGGAACTCCCCTTGAGCCATGAGGGAATGCAAGGACCTGCCCAGCTGAGGCAGGTTTGAAGCCCCGCCTGTGTGTACAACACAGCTGTTAGTTCCGAGTACCCGTGAGGGTCATCTACTTTGCTCTGCATGTATCCTGAGGTTTTTGTTACTGCTTCCTCCCCACAAAATTAGGATATTTCTAGTAAAACTGTAAGTTCCTCAGAGCAAGGGCTGGATCTCTTGGGAACAAGAAGACTGAGCACACAATAGGGGCACAATCAGTGCTGGTGACTAAGAGCTTTGCTACCCTGGAGAGGTGTCTGAGGCACCTTCTGGGTCTTAGGGGGTTTCAGAGATGTCACCAAGCACTATTGGTTGTACCTTTTCCTGACCTTCTAGGAAATAAAAAAAAAAAATTCATTTTTTCTTTCCTCTGAAAACCTTCTGGGTCAGAGTGTAGTGACATATTCTGAAAGGTAGCCCATCCTAGTGATGGAAGCAGAAAGCCAGGACAATATGATAAGTCTTGTTGCTTGGCCTTACTGACAGCGGCTGCTCTTCTTTTGAAGTACAGAAAATCTTTCCTTAGGTCTACAGGCCTGAGTTTAAGAGGTTCTGGCCACGCTGGCCACATGGGGAGGGGAAGGAAGACCGGGAGGGTGGAGGCAGGGAGGAGGGCTGCTCCAGTGCCAACATTCTCAGGTGGTGCTAACGTGTTTCCCACAACCCCCCAGGGTTCTACAGGCTCTGCAGGGGCGGATGTTTCCTGCCCTTTGTTTCCACCCTCATCTGGCACTAAGACATTTGGGACTGGGAGGGAAGGCCTACTAGAACATCTTGGCATAGATGTCAGAGGTGGCTTGGCAGGCAGACTGCCAGTCTGGTGGCTTTTCCAGAAGACAGGGCTTTCAAACTTGTTCTAAGTGGTGGTGGAGAAGGGGGACATTTAAAAGTCTGGGGCTTCACAATCATCTCCAAGATACTCTGCCTCCACAGTACAGCCATCAGCTATATTAGTTATATCAACTACACTGGACAAGAGCCCAGAGCCCAAAGCCCAGTCTGAGGATGACCCACCACAGAGCTCCAAGAATTTAAGGGTGCCCAGTCTGTCTCCTGGAGGCAGCCCAGCTGGGCTCCTTCAACCAGAGGGTAGAAAAGCAAGCTCACTGGGTCCTGAGATGCTGATCTTGTACCAGCACCAATGACCAGACAGTGGTAAGCACCCAAGTGGTAGAAATCCACAGGCATGAGCCAAGGGCACGCTCTGGAGGATTTCCATCAGCCTGGCCTTAGGGTGACACTAGCTAGAAGAATGCTACCTCGAACCAACAGAACGATCATGAAAAGCTACAAGACAATCAGACCAAAGGCATCTAACCACTTCAAAATCCTCCCAGCCTCCCTGCCAGACCACCCAGCAGCACTGCCGTTATCTGCCAGGGCTGAGTGTTTACCAATAACGGGAACCAGCTTTACTGTTTTACTGCAAGCTTTATAAGGATAAAAACAAGGGCTGGGCTCATGCAGCCTCTGGTTGCTGGGACACAGGAGTCCATTTGCTCAAGCAGTTTAAGCCATGGATCAGCCATAATAATTTGAACTGCTTTGATTATTAAACAATTTTCCTTGCCCCACGCATTCCCTACTTCCCTGCAAATCCTGTCTTGCACACGCACAGAGAGGCTCTGCCTGCCTGGCCCCAGGCGTGGGGCGTGGGTGGAGGGGGCTGCTGCACACTCACAGGGCTGCTCTGCCCTCTTGCCCGGCTCACCGATGAGGGGAACCACCAGGATGTACTTCCTGCTCTCCAGCAGTCGCGTCAGACTGGCCAGGTGGTCAATGAAGCCGTTGGTGTCTGGTACGAGGAACAAAGGTCTGATCTCCAGCTCCATCTGCCTCATCTGACTCTGGTCCTCCAGGACAGCCTGCACAGACAGAATGGTGAGGGAGCCAGACAGTGAGCAAGCAAGCACGTAGGGGTGTGTGTGTGTCAGGGCCCCTGACTGACAGTGCATCAGCATCCTGCCCCCAGGCACCTCTTCCTCCTCAGTGGGCCTGAGGGACAGCCCCGAAGGCTGAGCAAAGCTTTGAGCAAAACACAGACCAAACTCTGGGAAAGGATACTGATAATCTTAAAAATAAGTTTTCTGAAAGTAGGATTTTGGGCTAAAAATCAAGAGAGGAGAGTTAAGTTCCATCAGTATGAGAGTGGTTTCACTAAGTTATCCAGATAGCATATATGAAAGTCCAGACACTTACCAATATCTGAACAGCATCTGTTCTTTCAATTTATTTTTGTTTTTTTTTTTTTTTCTGGTACCAGGAATTGAACTCACGACCTTGCGCTTGCCAGGCAGGCGCTGTGCCGCTGAGCTAAATCCCCAGCCCCTGTTATTTCAATTTATTGCACTTTGTATTTAAACTAACTAACAAACTCACTACAAGTACAATTTAAACCCAAAGTTAAATTCAAGGTAATACAAAAAACATGGGTATGAGCTGACCAGTAATAACCAGGCTTCTGCAGAAGCAGCAGGAGTCTGTGCAAGTGAGCTGAGTTAAGACCAAACTCACACATGCAAAGAGCTGATCACAACTGTTGCCACCACTCTCCCTTTGCCTGGTGCAGTAAACGTTGGTTTTTTTTTCTGTTCTACTTTTACTCCTTTGCCACAACCCTATACAAGGGATATTGACTTCATCTTTTTCTTAAACTGACTTTAAGTCATTTTTTTCCTTAGCCTCTTTTTCAGCAATGCTGTATGGAATATCAAGGATTTGATACATTTGATACATACATTATGCATTTACCAGTGCAAGCTGAACTGCCATAATACCAGTCAAAGCATCTCCCTGTATGATTCACAATCACTGCACATGGCGCCAGTGGTCTGTGTACCATTCCTCACCCTTCAGAAAGAACATGGCCCAGGGCTCTCTGCCCTGCGGGTTTCACCTCTCTCAGGGAGGCTCCGTGCACATCTGTGAAAGCTCAATGTTCTCGTATCTGACAGTCTCACATGTGCAGCAGTAGTCCTTTGAGTTGGGTTCTGGGTATATCTGTCATTATAGAACAGGGTCATTATTGTGCTGCTTCTTCTGGGGACCATGGGCAAGAAACAAACTGATCTGGTACCTGCCAAGACGGCTGTGGTCCCTAAGGAGGGAGTCCATGGAGACCAACATAAACTTGGCAGGGGGCTAGCAGGTGCCAGCACCCTCATCCCCACTCATGGCCTTCTGCCACTCCACTACATGGACAGAGATGCAGGAATGGTGCTGGGCGAGGGTATGTGCGTGCCAACTGAGATGGGGCCCACGGTGCTGGGTGTGACCATAAACAGTCAGTGAGGAGGTTGCTCAGGCTTCACTGACAGTGACAGTAAAACTGAAAGGGCATGCCTTCCAACGATGGGGGTGGCTTCTCTGTGACCTGCCAGGGACCTTTCCCTATGAGTAAGCTGTTACTGCCACTGCCACCACAGCTGGTGGAAGGCACAGGCCAAAGGACTCTGGCAGCATGAGAAATAATGCTGAAGTCTACTGAAGTCTTCCTACTGATCTCACGCCATGAGGGGAAAGTACCATTGCTGGAGGCCACCTTCCCAGGAGACTTGGGTCAATCCCCTCCCCTGAGGGCCGCCAAGGAGAGGGTAACACACATTTCACCAATCTTGCTTGGGCTTTTCAGGAGAATAGGAAATGCTGCTGCTCAGGTTCAGTGACCAACTCATTGTCCTCCTTTGTCATACCGAGAAGTGTAACATTCCCGCTCCTCCTTTGCCCAGGCTTTTGTTCACTGTGTTGCTTTTCTGCTGCTAGGAATACTTTTTCTGGGACCCTAGGTCCTAAGTCTCTATCCTGGGGGAGGGGACAGAATAAACTTTACTTGTTTCAAGGTGGATGGAGGACACTGGCATCTGCAGTGACAGGGACCCAGGTTCTACTTTAGCACTGTACTTCCCATTCCTCTCACATCCGTTTTCCTGCCTTGAGATACGACACACCATGCCACCAAAGAAGTGGCACTGGCTGATATTTTGCACCCTGTGTGAACAGTCAGCTCCTAAGATCTTGCATCATCTTACCTTTATGCTGGCAGTAGGCAGGAGGGCTGCTAAGCCAGGCAGCCTGAGGGCAAAGTGAGGCTACCTGGGTGTTCTTACGATGGGACAGAAGCAAAACCTAGGAGCAGGGTGTAAAGAAGCTTTAACTTTCCTGGGTTCTTGAGGCTCTGGCTTGTGGCCATAAAGGTGAACTGGCCAGAGACTCAGGAAGGTAACTTTGCTGGCTTCCCTGAGGATGGGATGGGGTCCAGCTGTGGTCAGAGCTAGGCTGTCCTCATCTGGTCCCAGGGACGCCTGCAGACAACTTCCCTTCACCCGGCTCTGTCCAGTGAGTCACCATACAACTGCTTCTTGTTCCTCACATACCCTCACGGAGTCTTGGGAGGTTAAATGAAGCTGTGCCTCCTCTTCTAGGGTACCAGTGGGCTTTGGGCAAAGCTGTATCTGGGTCATGGGACAGGCTCAGTTCCCTTAAAAAGACCGGCAGACCAAAGAGGGCTTGAGAGTCCCCAGGCACTCTTCTATGGGTGTCTGCATTTCCGGCTCTTTCTCAGTGGTGTGTGTGTATGTGTGTGTGTGTCCATCCGTCTCTTTCTGTGTGTGTGTGTGTGTGTGTGTGTGTGTGTGTGTGTAGCATTTGCCCTCCTAACTTTTCCAGATTTTACCCGTCAGATTCCTGGCAGCTGTGCACAGCGCCTGTGCTGTCTGTCACGTCCCATTCCAATCTCTGGGTCGCACGGTGAAAGAGGGACACAGGATGCACGGGGAGTGAAAAAGTGATGTCGGTGGGAGAGTGCCAAGTCCCCACTCACAGCCATAGGACACTTGGGGAGAAGGGGGAAGCATGCTGCTGTGGAGTTCAGAGGCCGGTAGTGAGATTTATTTTTGTTTGTATGAGTAAAAAGCTGCAGAAGCCTATGGTGGGGTGAGGGGGGCGCAGTCGGAATGCTGAGATTCAGACAGGCTGCCCCTGGCCTGGAGTCAAGTGGGCTGACCCGGAAGGAGAGTTCCACAGGAACCCTTCAGTTAAGCCTGGTCCTTAGTGAACTGGGAACTTGAGGAAAGTGCAGGGACTCCAAATTAGACAGGTGGCAATAAGGCTCATGTTGGTATGAAGTATGAATGACAGAAAGGGCTTAATTCTGTTTCTGGAAGGTGCTAAGTAACCAACTCTCTCTGAGGTACAGGAGCTTCCTGGAGCAAGCCGGCAGAGACTGGGAAAAGAGATATACACACTAATACCTAAAGAGGAAGCTAACAGGCTTGAGTCCTTAGGAAGGACCTTACAGGTTAAGTTCCTTCTTCTATACAGTGAGAATGATTTTATAATGTTGACCCACTGAAAATTTAGACACAGGATCACAAATAAAAGCAATGCAAAGAGCTGACACAGAAGTTGTGGAGCTGGGAGAATACAGATCATGAAACAGGATCAAACCAGGAAAAGGCCTTTTTAGGTCTTCCTTCTGCTCAGGGGCTCCACAGGGAGTATGACTGCTTCCTTCCTTCTAGGAGCATGCATCCCTGGGCCCCTCTGGCCAGAGGAGTCTTCACTAGAAATTAGAGGTGTTTTTTTTTTTTTTTTT